CTCTCAGATGCTACAAAGTGCAAATTTCTGACCGGTGAGTGTGGTGTTGACCTGGCACGCTGGCATTTATTGGATGAAATTACCAGCTGTAGGAATTCGCTGGAAACCATGGGTTCATCTGCTATGGCTCGGGGGTTTCCCCAAAGGGGCTGTGACACATCACGTAGGAAAGACCCAACATGTGCCGGAAAGGGTACGAACACCTTGCCCAGCAGAAGTCAGCACGAAGGGCTGTGGTTGAGCACAGTGTACCGTGCCATTTGTCGCACACGAGCACGGAATAGCAGTCTCAAGAGCTGATACAGCCAGCCCATTTGGGGATGTTTGACCAGCTGGTGATACCTCTTCTCCTCATGAGTGCCAAGCATTTGCTTTTGAAGGTTATCCTAGTTTAAGTCAAACTACAGATAACGCTGTTTCTCCTGTATGAGAACAAGACCCCTACGTGGTTTAGCCGGTTTGATTCTCTGCTGTGCACGCTTTCGTTGAAATACAAAATCTTTCCATCCAGCTTTCCTTATTTGCTGAAAGACATGCCAGGGGACACACAGTTTATTTGCAACATGCTTTTTTAAACTTAGTAACTGTGCTTAAAAAAACCTGGTAAATTCTCTAAAATTCAGTTATTGAATTAGCAATTTATTTGAAATCTGTTAGGCTCCTTGGTGTGCTTATGTTTTTCTCACAAAAATATATTATGAAAACATATGTCTTAAATATCCCTCATGTAATTTCTTTTGTCCTCATTAGTCTAGATGCTAGTTTTAAATTTCACGTCTCTTTCAAGTGGAGTTTTAATTCTGGATGAAAAGTTGATGTGTAAAATGCCTGAGTTTAAATCAAGTCTCCCAGAATTCAAAAATAAAGCACAAAAAATGTTTGCATAATGTTCAAATGTGGCTCTCCTAAAATCTCTCTCATTTTTTTTCATGTGATCATTCTCATGCAAAGTATGTAAAAATCAAGGAGTGTCATTTTCTATGCTTCCCACTGAAAAAGCGAAACTCTTCATTAAGGTTTACCATAGCATGGGGATTTGCATGATCTTTAAACCAAATAGACATCAGCTTTCAGTATCTGAAGCAGCTTCTCAAAGTATTAAACTGAACAATAGGTGAGAAGGATTTATATATTATTTCTGGTGGTAGAGCAGAGCCTTTTCTCCTCTTAACCTATTCCATATGACTCGCTGCCGTCTGCAATGTCACATTTTATTATCTTATATAAAAGGGACATGAGATTAAGTATTGGATTTGGGGAAAAGTGAAGGGAGCTTACTCATTTATTGAGTTTAATTTAGTTTACTGCAACTAAGGAATTCTGGGGAGGCTATGTAGCAAAAAAAACAAAACTAAAAAACGAAAAAACCCACTAAAACAACAATTTCTACCTATAACATAAACTCTGCTTTTAGTATTGTGCCTGGTGCAGGAATACTGAGCTGTGGGCTAGACTATGGATGCCAAAGCCTTTTTTAATTTATAAAACAAGACCTTAAATCAACAAAAGTGGGAAAGGTTGTGATAACCGTATGTTTTGTACTGCACTTTCTACGTGCACAGTGACTGACATTGTTTCTGAGTCAGCTCTTTTTATATTTGTGTGTACATTTTAATCGATGTACACATACACAAAATTTCAAAATGAATTTTGATGTTTGGCTGTTTCTCTCTAGGTGAAATCTAGGTGAAGATTTTAAATAGATTTTAAACTGTTTTTCTTGCTGGCTATTCTAAGGAGAAAACCTAAAATTGTCAGCCAGTTTCTCAGTGTTATAAAATTAATAACCAATCAAATTGTTTTACTTACTCTGGCTTTGCTCATTAACTCGCAGTTTGCGTTCATCAGAACAGAACAAACAGAACCCTGGGATGCAATGAGTGATCTGGGACATTCTTCCTGAAGCGAAAAATAAAACCAACCACTACACATCTTAGCAAGAAGTCATTATTCTGAATTGTTACATCAAATGACAAGTTATAATTTGCTGCTCAAAAAACATATAGATTTAACATTTTTTATTCTGATCACAAAATTTGCAAAAATAATCTTCTGTCAAACGTGATAATTCTGTTCTAATGTTTTCCATCTCCACCTTTACCTCTCACTGAAATCAAACTTTGGTAAATGCTTAATTTAATGAACATGGAGAACCTCCAGGGTTAGGGGAGAAGACATAGGATGAGAGCCTACTTATTGTGATAGACATTTCATAAGCACAGAGCAAAGTTACATCCAAATAGACGTCTAACAGTAACCTTGGTGATCTTGTGAGGGATCCACAGAGGTTGAAATAGTAGAATGAATGTTTTCCAATTTTTTTCAACGCTGAGGAGGGCGTTATGTCAGCTGTACTGTTCTGTATTAGCTGCTAGCTATACTGTTGATGTTGATCACTTGGTAGCATTTAAGGGATATGATCAAGAAGGTTGGGTGCCGTGCAAGCGCAGGACAGGAGCGTGATGCTGCCCAGGTTGGAGCCAAACCACACTTCAGGCAGCCTCTGCAGCTGTGGGCTCAGCATGGGCCTGAGAGAGAGCCCTCTTCTCTGGGAACACAGGTGTGTCTGTGGGGTGCCGGGTCATTAGTTCTAGCATTTCACCATGCTGCGCATCTGGGGGATTTAATGTAAATTCACGTATCTGCTTAACAGCAACTTACCGTCGTTATAATGATGTAACTAAAACTGCAATGGCGGTGTGTACGGTAGAAAAGCAATTGTTTAAGATGTATGAATGTGTGTTTATTTCCTTATATAATCAGTCTTATACCTATGCTATTGCAATTCCAGATCTAGCTGAGTGGTCATTGCTGTTTGTGTGGATACGAACACATGTGCACACCTATACATAGAAATAAAGCAATGTGAAGACCGTGACCATTACTTTTTAATTAAAAAAAAAATTAAGTCATTTCAGTAACATATCCATTGTTTGATGCAAAATCTGCACGTAGATTTTAAAATGAGGATGAAATATCTTAATATGTTTCATATAGCAATCGATAGCAAAGTCATCTGCAAATGAACGAGTTTCAGTGTATGTATACATACATATCTATATATACATACATGTATCTGTGGATGTCAAATTTTTGTACATATATGCATAGATTAATTATTGCAATATTTATGCTTTTAAAAATATACTGATTTATTTTGATTTATTTTCCATATATGTGCACATACATCCCATGCATTCAGGTAGCAGATAGTGCTTTATTCTACAAGAAATTATCCTTATATGAAAGTCATGGATATTAATTGTGTGTGAGATAAAAATGGATTCTTTGTGTACATTATGCATGTGCCTGCAGGGGGTCAAACCACCCGGGCAGAAACAGGAAAGGGGGTAAGCTTGCTGGAAAGAGAGCACATCTTTGTTGGAAGTTGGAAATAAAAGAGTGCTTCTCATTAAACTCAAAAAAAAAAAAAAATTTTTTTTTTGAAGAGTTAAGCCTGAAAAAAAAATCTACAAAAATATGTTGTGAGCGTTCTTTTGATTCGCCTCAAACTTCAAGAAAGGTGAACTGTGTTAAAAAGAGGATGTGACATGAAAAATTTGAAGTGGTTTGGGGCCCAAAGCTGCAAACCTTTCCACTTGTGAATAACTCTACACACGGAGTATTTGACTCCTTGAAGTCAGATATCAAATACTGCACCACCTGTAGCGCCAGTCGTTCGGTTTGGCTGCGATGCAGCTACTTAGGGGTGTGCAGAGCTCTGCCTTAGGACTGGAGCCCATTCTGATATTGGGCCATTTGGGATGTCTGGTAGTGCAGTAGTCAGAGCACAGCGCTTCGTCCGTGCTCATCTGCAGGCGTGTCTGCATCCCCATCTGGACACAAAAGTAGTTCTGCGGTGTAGTCGGCGGTGAATGTATATACAGATATACGTGTGCATGTGTACAGAGGCAGAGCCTATGAGGGGATGTAGACAGGCAGATGGTTGGAGCATGTCAGTGCTTGAGCATATACGTGCGTGACATTTGCACAGTAGTTGTTCTATTTAAGGCTGTGTGTATGCTGAGGCTCGAGAAGGATTTCTTCACTGTTTAAGAGCAGGAAAGAAATGTTGTCGCAGAGAAGAGTGGGAAAAGAAAGTGACATACCCTGTATCTTGAAGATGGGAAACACTTGGTAAGTGCAAGGGCACATGCAACACTTTGGGCACAATGTGTTGCTGGCTTTGGAGGCTGTTGGACCAGGCTGAGCAGAAAATGGGCCAGTCCTCTGTGAAGGGTCTTACCCCCTGCATCAGGCTTACCCATGTTGTATTTGGAGAGGATGCAAAATTTATCTTGAAAATGTGTCTGTTTTTAAAATGTCCTCCAGCACTTTGAATACTACAAGACTGTAGTTTACTCTGCCATAAACATGGGCAAAGAATGGCTTTAGACTCATGGCTTGAATTTTGAAGCATGTACTTAGTGCTGCAGAATTGACTTCTATTGAATTTAAGATCTCGAATCAATACACAAGTCTTTTTGCTAATTTTTAGAGCAGTTCTAATTATTTGAGTTCATGCTTAATTTATAAGTAGCTGAATCAAAGTGTGATTAATTGCGTATAAAGTGTTCTTGAAGATAAATAAATATTTCTGTTATTTAATTGGTTAATTAAAAGAATTGTTGAATAGTTTTTCTTAGTGTCTATAAAAAAACTGATTATATCTTCAGGTTTGTCATTATCCAGTACTTATATATATAAATAATGATGCTATCACACACCTGTGTAAGCATCTGTGCAAACATACGTGAGGGCTGCTCCGAAGGCAGTGCCTCCTATTTTATTATTTTGGCCCACGATGTCAGAGGTGGATGTTGGTGGTATGGCAATAGAGGCTGCATCTTCCCACCAATATTCCGTTACAGATGGCAGCAGAGGGGCGCTCTGACAAAATGGTGTCCGGCGTCGTATTGCATATGAAGCAACGTTTTGTCACTGAATTCCCTTCATGCAGAAAAAATGGTACCCATTGACATTCACTGATGCTTGCTGAACATTTATGGGGACCAAACAGTGGACGTGAGCACAGTGAGGCAGTGGCTGGTGTGTTTCAGCAGTAGCAACAGTAGGTCACCTATGCTGTTACTGATTTTTATAGGCATGGAATATCGGTTCTTGTTCATCACTGGTGAAAATGCATAACTAATGGTGGTGACTATGTTAAGAAATAGTGTTTTGTAGCCGAGAATTTGCTCAGTCTAATGGTATTATTGTACTCTTTGTATCTGTTGTCTTTTCCATGGTTCCATGGAAAGAAGAAGGAGGCAATGATTTCGGAGTGAGTGACCTACGTACATTCTTTTATGAGGAAAGCTTTCATCCCTTTACTAGGACTCTTGTCTCATTCCAAATAACATTGATCTGTATTTGTCATTGTTTTATAGCAAGACTTCCCAGTCTCAGAATGAGGGTTTTTATTTTAAATCTGACTACTTGTGCTCACTTACTAATACTAATAAAGTCAGCAAGACTTTATTATAAGAAGCAAGAGTAAGCAAGAATATCTGATCATAAATCCTTCCCTTCAGTTTCAGTTGTTAAAACTGCCAAACAAAGCAACTGACTTTTAATTTTTGGCCATTGTATCCATCCAACAGTAATTTTCTTAGAAGTTCCTAGGGAAGTGTCCATCCATTTTCTACAAATTTGATGAACTGATGTTTTTTTTTTAAATTTTAGTTTTGCATTCTTTTCAAAATGAAGTGCTCAAATTGTAAAACAGAAGCAGATTTTCAGTTTTGTGAATAAAGTAATGATTGAAAAATTTCTAAGTTGTTATGACTGCAATTTTATATAATTGTGGGAAAAAAATTTTTTTGAGAATGCAAGACATCTTGACTTTGAAAATGTGGGTTCATTGGGTGTTGCTTGCACTGCCAACTTTAGGAAGCCTAGGTATCATTGTATTTAGGGTTAGAATATCTGTATAAAGCTCTCCTATAAGCTTCTAGGCATCCTCACAATTCTTTAAAGTAGCAAAAAACATTGAGAGATTGTCATAAACACAGCGGAGGGCTGAAGCACCAGCTGGTCAATAACCTTCCATCTTGCTCTTGGGCTGGGAAATAGCAATGGAGCCTGTGATAGCTTGCTTGGAAAGTGAATTTGGATTTTTTTTGGTGGAGTATTTTGGGGAAAAGATGCAGCACCTTGCAAAGGTATAGCCTGTGTGCCAATTCCCTTTAGTGGCAGCAGTACCATCACTGAATAGCAGGATGGACTGCAACGGTGACGCTGTCTGAAAAGAAATGGAGGCAGTTTCTTAGACCAGCAAGACCAGGGCTACTTGGTGTGATAGATCAAAATAATCTTAAAATAGGATTAAAAAACAGGAGGCAGTTAATGCAAATGTCAGAGCAGCAGATTAATGATTATGCGACAGGAGACTTGGCGGCAAGGGGCCATTTGCTTGCAGACCAGAGGCAATCTCCAGACAGACTGCAGTCAATGCACAGGTTTTCAGGAGCCCCATGCTGTGGCAGCAGTGTTTGAGCAAAGCATGTATGATTTGCTCATGGAGCTGAAAACAGGGTGGCGTGACATTGGTGACCCGGTGATCTAGCAGGTCATGCAGACTGGATCCACAGTGTCAGAGGCATCAATCTCCCTGCTGCATCTTCTGAGTGTCGCCCCTAACCAGGCAGTGGCTTCTCTACTCTCTCTTGATTTTCTGCCTGCCCTCCTCCTCCTCTTTCTTCTTCCTCTTCTTTCTCCTGCTCACAGGAGGTGCTCCCAGGCCCCACTCAGTGTACTTGTAGAGGTGGAGGCATAAAGCTCTGTGCTGTCTGGTCACTGACAGTAGTCTCCACATCTTCTTCCTGTCCTTGAGAGTCTCTAAATAAGAGACTTGATGACACCTTTTATGCATCTGCAGCACAGCTGGAATGAGCTGTGATTATAACCACCTAGTGGAAATATGCTGTAGACTCTGGCTTTGCAGACCTCATCTCTGCTTGAGGTGAGACTTAAGGAGGAATACGTGCAGGCAAAGACAGTGTGCAATCAAGCATTGCATAGAAACTGGAAGTGTCTCCAGGGGTTTTCAACTTCTTTTTTTTTTTATTAGTACAAATATTTTTGCTTCCTCTCAGCATCAGTTCTCTTCAGGAGCTACTGTACACAGTGTTCAAGCTGAAAAATTAGCCTGCTCTTATCCTGATATCAACAGGAACTGCAGTAAGGTATAATTGTGGTAGGAACCGGATAAGGACAATAATAGTTAGCATGTTAATTGCCTTAGATCTCTGAAGCATTTTGTGACTGCCAGATCAGGGTAATGTCTAAAAAGCCTGTTGTCTTGCCTACATGGTTTTGCTTATATATGAACTAATCTCTTCTGAGTCCATGTGTAACTGGCTGCACAATCCATATACAAAGTAGGTTTTAAAATCAAGGCTTCCCAACCCTTCTTCTTTCCTCCCATCACAAGATACTGTCCATCCCCTGCAGATGTTTCACCACATTGAGCCACACTCACAGTGACCTTACAGAAGATACCAGAAACTGCCCTGGCATAAATGAAAATCCCATTTGGTTCAGCTGATAAACTTTGATTCAGTCCCTTTTTGTAATGACTGCATCAGAATGAGATATATATTCTTATGCTTAATATTATAAAAACCTTCACCATGTTATGTAAATACATTTTGTTGTTTTTACAAGTAAGGAAAACATAGCCAAAATAGCATAAAAATAAGTAACATGTTTATATCTGGAATTCCAGATACAAAATGGATTTGATAGAATTAGTAAAATTAGGGAAACAAATTGTTGGAAAGAAATCCTTCAGCAGCTGAAACTCAGCCACATGTGATTCCAAGCTTTTGTGCAGGCAAGGCAAGATTTTAACTGGTGTAGTGTCAGACCAAGACTGTAACACAGTATTAGAGGAGGGAACCAAAGCTTTTGCAAGTATTTACACAACCGTCTGTATACTGATGGGTAGAGGTGCCCTGTACTGGCCTGTCCTTTAAAGGACATTGTTTTCTATTGATGTTTCATCTAAAGGTTTTTCCATTAATTAAGATGAGCTTATGTAATCTTTTTAATACATTACTACTTCTCCTATCCTGAGGCCATGTCAATGACAGGCTACACGTGTGCTTTAACACACCTCTCCAATATGCACTTACACAGTCCCTGCTATACACGATAGCATGTGAACTCCAGCTGGCTGCAAAGAAAGGCAAGATCAGGACTGACTCCGGTTTGCCCCCGGGACCAGAACATGAGCCCAGTTGTGTACAGTTTATCAGTGAGCTATATCCTTACTGATCCCTTCCAACTTGGGATATTCTATGATTTTATTTGCTTTAAATATCTCTGCACTGTCACAGTGGACTACTTTGTCTTTTATTACTGTGTGTTGACTAGCCTTTTCTGGGATTTAACCATTTGTATATTTTCTTTGTAAAACTGCCAGTAAAATTAGACCTGGTTATCACCAAGCTGTGTTCAAAGAACAACAGTTCTTTTATCTATCCTGCTCTGCTTTGGTGTTTGTGAAATTGCAGAAGTTGTGCTTGGGCATTCTAATTTTTCCCTACATTCAAATATACACAAAATAGTGAAACTAAAGGTGTTTAAGAGTTCCTATATGAGGGAAATGTTTGTTCTGAGGAGAAGACCTGGTACACACTGTGTTTCTCCTGGGAGCACACACTTTTGTCTGAATCATGTGCTACTGGCTTGTGGTGAATGGTGGTGTTTTAAAACTGTACTGCTGACACAATATTGAAGTGGAATACCCTGAAGGAAAGACAGTGATGCACTTAAATAATTGTACCACGTATCCTGTGCCTGCTTTTTGAATGTTCATAGTTACCTTTTGCAAATATCTTGTTTCGTTCCCTTGCGTGCTTGATCGGGGAACAAAGGAGTAAGAGGAAAGTTGTCCCTGTTGAAGCCTTAAAGCTGAGCGTCCAGCTGCTGCCACCAGCACTCGGTCTGGCAGAGCAGCCCATGCAGTTCCCGGCAGGCAGCAGTGCCAGTCTCGGCCTCCATCCCACTTCCTAGAAGTGGCCACAATGGTGAGCAACCGACGAGGAAGTGACGTCTGTCGCAGAGGCTCCTGCAAACACCCGTCACTTCGGGAAGCACAAACCCGCCCCGTAGCCCCGGTGCCACTGCTATAAAGCAACATGCCCCATCTGAGCTCTGGCACAGCTTCCTCCAGCTGATGTGTCGGGTGGGAGAAACGCAGGCATGCTGGCAGCGTGAGAGGAGGTATGTGAGGAGGTGGGAGGATGCCTCGTTGCAAAATGGAAGGAGGGGAGTTGCCAGCAGCAGTTGGCAACGCTTGTAGAAATGTTCTCTCTAGGCTCACCTACTGCTTTGCTTTTCCTTTGTTTTTTTTTTTTCTTTCTTTCTTTTTTTTTCCTCTGTGAGATAAACCAAAGCTTTGAGTGTCCTAGAAATGTGGAGTGGTGGCGGAGTTAGTGTAGTGAAAGTCTTGCTGTAATATCCAGTATGTACTTTTTGTGGCCATCTTCATTTCTGAGCAAGTAACCTCATGGTGAGGCTTCTCTTTTCAAATGTGAAGGAGACAGAAATACCTTATCTGTGTAACACATGCAGGACATTAGCCAGTGATATTTTTTAAGCAGTTTTAAACAGTTTGCAGACCTTATTTTCATTTGGTTTTGCAGTTGGTGACTTTTGTAGCATTTTTATGCAGCCATACATGAGTGATGAATCTTGCACATAGCCAGTGGGAAAGATGAATACTTTCAAAATAAGAAAATTTGACTGAATGCTGGCAGGAGCTCAAAAGCAATTCCATATGTACCAATTGCATAGGTACTCTCAGTTCAGTTTTACAACAGGCTAAATAAATGTTAGGGCAACAGCATCCCCTCATGATAAAATTGCCTGAGTAGGCCAGCATTACTGGTGTGATTTTCCTTGGCTTGTGCTTCTTGCTTGTTGGAATCGATTTGTAAGAAACATTTGGAATTTTTTTTTTATTTTTGCTATGAATCCTACATTGCTTTTGAAAACTGTTCAGGATCGTGCCAGTCAAGATTCATATCTGAAGTCTTTGCTTCCTTGCTGTCACAAGCAGTTTGGCATTGCTGCTCGTTACAGAATAGCTTGAACTGTCTAATCAGTTCATGAAGTGATTTTTTTTTTCTCGTGGCTACTTCTAGAGGACAAGAGTATGTTTTCAAGGGAATCTATACTGACTGATTAAGAAGGATTCAGGATTTTGGCGGCCTTTGCTAAAGTCAGAGGCAGGAAATGTCTCACTGAAAGCAGGAACAGTTATACCAAAGTGAACATTATTTCATCAGTTCCTTAGACAATTAGGGAAAAAAAAAAAGCTGGTCTTTGTGCCGAATGGCAGAGATGATAAGACTGTTAGCCCCTGTGGAGCAGCAAGAAAGTTATTTACGTGAATGGCTGTTGCACACACCGCCAGCTGGGAGGGAATGGCAAGGTTCAGCATCCTCCGTGTGGGGTACTCCCCGTGGCTGTCCAAAAATTTGACCAGAAAAGTTTGTCTTGACGAAGAACAATCTGTTCTCTGTAGGTTATAAATGTGACATTTTATTTTTCCTCTTTCAGAAACATCATTTGACTCAGTGAAGAATTAAATCCAACAGCACTGCAGAGCCGCGTGGGAGAGAAGGGGATTTTAGACTCAAGTGGCACAATCAAGTCTTCAGAAGTAAAGACATTTGGAACAGCTTCTCCCAAAATGGAAGTTATCTAGACAGCCCCTGAGACCTCTCTGCATCCTGCTTCTGCCGCACCGGGACGGTGTTCTTAGCCCTGGTCTTAAATAAAATGTTGGATTCTATCAAGTGCGTGCTGGTGGGAGACTCTGCAGTGGGAAAAACATCTCTCTTGGTACGTTTCATCTCTGACACTTTTCCAGATAACTACCGACCCACTGTGTATGAGAACACTGGAGTGGATGTCTTCATGGACGGCGTGCAGATTAGCCTAGGCCTTTGGGACACATCTGGAAGCGATGCCTTCAGAGGCATTCGCCCCCTCTCCTACCAACAGGCAGATGTGGTGTTAATGTGCTACTCTGTGGCAAACCACAACTCCTTTCTAAACCTGAGGAGCAAATGGATTGGCGAGATCCGCAACCATCTGCCCCGCGTCCCTGTTTTGGTAGTGGCCACGCAGACCGACCAGCGCGAGTCGGGGCCTTACCGCTCCTCCTGCATCAGCTCGATGGATGGCAAGCGGCTCGCCCAGGACGTGCGAGCCAAAGGCTACTTGGAGTGCTCAGCCCTCAGCAACCGCGGTGTGCAGCAGGTGTTTGAGTATGCTGTGCGGACAGCAGTCAATCAAGCCAAGAGGCAGAACAGGCGGAAACTCTTCTCCATTAACGAGTGCAAGATCTTCTGAGGACTGCCAGCAGTGGTTTTGCCTATGTTCGTTGTTTCTGCCTTTGCACAAAGATGCTGCGGCAGAGATAATGGGAGCGAATCAAAGACAGGAGGACTCCTGTCAGGACCATGGTACAGGTGGCCCCAGTAAAACACATGTGCGCTCTGTCAGTTCTGTTCCCCTACCCAACACACATGGGCACTATCTTTAAAAACGACAGATGCAGGCAGGGGCCTTTGTTCTCAACTCTGTGTTTGTAATTTGCCATCTTGGACTGAAGCAGACCCAGTCTGGAGATTTACAGATCATAGTTGTGCAGATTTTGTTATCAGTGTTCCTCAGCTGTTGGTTTGTCTGCATTTATTTCACAACAAACTTCACCTGGATCAACCTTCCCTCTTGACGTATCTGTCCGAGTGTTTTGTTGTTTTTTTTTTACTCTAAGAACCTAATGTATAGGTATAAATGTATAAAATCTGACCACTGTGTATCTATTTAAAAGATTCTTGTATATGTTGTTGTAAAATCCTGACAATTTGTTTTCATATTTCTATCTAACCAACATGCAAATAATTCTATCCATATAATAAATGGCCTGCAGGCAAGCCTAGCACTTCTTACACATGCCTGAGTTACTGCCCAACAGTGATCAAACACACTGTGTCCAGCATAGGAGTGATCAAAACTTTGTGACATTTGATAGTTGACTTTGTGAGATTTATTTTCTTACCTTAGTCCTGTTCCTGGGAAAATAGAGACCGCTGCAACACTGTGGTCAGAGATGTGCTGAAGCAAGAGGAACTTAACCTGACTCTTCCTAGACTTGACCTAGTTACAACCCCAGAAGGGCTGGCTTGTAGTCAAGGCTAACCATGCGGGTAGGGTGGTAGAGACAAATCTGTGCTATCATCACTTCTCATGTTCCTGCCATAATTCTGGAGGCAAAAGACTTCATTCTCTAGGGATGAATGGTATTTTTTTTCCATGAGCACTAACATTCTCACATATTTTTAGCACATTTTGATTATAAACAGTGGTTTTCATGAAACAAGTATCCTATTTGCTGGAGTGCAAGTAATGTCTGGACAATGCTCGCAAACAATCTAATTTTTGAGTGGTCCTGTGTGGAGTCAGGAGTTGGACTTGACGATCCTTATGGATCTCTTCCAACTCAAGGAATTCAATGAATCTATGATTCTACTACAGTAAAAAAAATAAGTACATGGCAGTGTTGAATGTGCATATTTACAATGGCTAAATAAAACATTCTTTTGAGTTTGCATGCTAAGCATAACGGCCTGGATTCTATAAAACAACGACTGTAGCAGGAGTTGTGCCCTGGAGAGCTTGGCAAGTCTGAGCACCAAGTTCTGACATACCTGCTTGGGCCAAGTTACCCTTCTGCACAGAGAGTCAGGCTAAAGAAGTGGCACTTCAAGATGTGTAAGTGCATACTGCTGGAAGACAGAGTGGGGTCAACACACACCACACTGTGCATTCCCTGTGAGTGGTGTGGTGGCCCCACTCCTGAGCTTATCTGTGCCAAAACCTCTGCCCCACACCATCCCACAGGTCTTGCAGATTGGTCTCATCCCAAGGTTTCTGCTGCCCTCCCCACCCTTCAGTGAGCTCAGAACTGAGGCTTATAGCATGCTGCCATGGAAGGTGTTGCTCAAAACAGTAGGATGATTCTCTCTCCATGAGGATCCCAAGAGAATTAACTGTGTCTGTTCTGACTAAGCCTGACTCATGCATTCCAACTGGAATTGATGCAAAAGCTTGTCTGATTCAAATCCAAGGTGGGACTTTGGGAGTTATCCTACTTAGCATATAATTTATAGCTCAGATCTAACCTACTGATAGTTTATACCAGAAATATCAGTCAGGTGCCCTTCTCCATGCTCTGTTCTCCATCTGAGCTTCTTCACGAGGAGAAATTCCAAATGGAACAATTCTCCTCCTATGAATCCTAGGGATGGTCTCAGTTGTGTTATAGGTGAACAAGTATCAGCATTATGGGCACCTTGAGCAGCAGTAGTGCATGGGACACTTGTTATTGCAGCAATCCCCAAAACTCCCAGGCAGGTGAATAGTCATCAGCCTTATTCCAAGTGAGGTCATAAAAACATGCTGGTCTCATGTGTAAGGTTTTATTATCAGCTTCAAATCCTCACAAGCTTCTGCACCTGAGCATACATTTTTCCTGCACTCTTCTCTTTACATTTTCTCTTTCTCTTTGTAAAACTTTTGGTGTACATTGGAAATCCCTAGCCCCCTCGAACACTAAAACTGACATATTTGTAAAAGAACCTGAACTGCCTGATACCTACATGGAGTTACACAGATGTTAGGTATTTTCATTCCTCATTTAAAAATCTTTTGGCTTTTGGAAGAAGTAAGTTCCAATATCCCAACTCTTGTAATGTGTTGTCAATGAAAGTATTGTTTCTTGCACCCCCTAATTTAAAAGTAGCCATTGTTACTGTTTGAACATTAAAGATCACATGCAAAATTTTGCATTGTCAGTCTTAAAGTCTGTTACATTTGTAGGCATTTTTATTATGGTCTCCACCTCACTGGTTTAATATCTGGTTTCATAAAAGTAAAGCATTTTTTGCCAGCAAGTTCTATTGCTTTTTTTTTTTTTTTTTCTTTTCTCTCTTTGCCGGATAAGCTTTGTTTATGACAGTTAATGTTGCTGTTTTTATGTGTTAAAGAACAGTGACTGCTAAGCTAGGATGCCCTGCTGTGGTATCTGCTGTGAGATGCTGGGATTTAGGGACCAGAAAGCTCTGGAGAGTAGTTGCTTCAGAAGCAGCTGGATGAAAATATTCACGCTGTAACTGAAAACCTCATTTTGTCTGTATTTTCTTCACAAGACTTGTGATGATATATTACAAAATGATGAACTGAAGGTTTGTTTGCAACTTGCTGAAGCAAAATGGCTTCCCTGAGACGCACAAGCTGACAATATGGGCCATGCAGGCTTGCTGTACTCTTCATTGTGTGTCCTGGAGCCCATGCAGGGCTGAGCGCGCTGAGCACCGGCTGCTTGGTGAAATCAGATCAGGGAGAAGATAAAGCAAGGGGTGGGGGGTTGGTGCTATGTGAGAAAAAACTGCTTCCAGTTTTCACAGCCTGCTTATTTTCAGGCTCTCAAAGCTAAAAGGCACTTTTCATCAGGAACAGTTAGACACGCTATTTTTGTGTCTGTAATTATGTGGTTTTCTCTGGGCTGTGTAACTGACATGCTCAAAGCGTGTTGCAAGAGTGAAGTCTGAACACTGTGGACACTGATAGAAAATTCCTCTCCTCTCCTCTCCTCTCCTCTCCTCTCCTCTCCTCTCCTCTCCTCTCCTCTCCTCTCCTCTCCTCTTTTCTCAACAGCTCACCTCAGTGAGCACACAGCATGGGTAGCAAGTGGAGGTAGTGACAGACAGCTTATGCTGCCCTAGAACCATATTGGTGCTGTTTAGCCCATGTCACTTGGGGAACGAGGTCACTGGGTTCAGCTCCAGTATAAAAACACATTCAGATGACAGGTGGGCAAAAATGTTGAGCTTCCGAACAGAGGCACCACCTGGTGTCGGTTGGGCTGAACAGTTTCAGCTAACAGGAGGAACCTTGCCCACATGTTCCCTTTCTGTTTTTTCAAACCTTTCACTTTATTACTTTGTCACCAAAATCATTTTGGTTTAACTCTTAAAAGAGCTTGAAAGGAGCAAAAAACAAAACAAAACAAACAAACAAACAAAAGAAATATTTGAAAGAACACAATGATTTTTGTCATTATTTGACTTGTCATTTTGACAGAAAAAATCAATTTCAGTCAATTTCAAATTTTTTTGATGAATTCTGCAAGCTGGATAAAATGTGAATAGATGTGCAGCTGCGATTAAAACTGGAAACTATTTTCTTGCAAAACGTGGTGAGCACACCTTACGTTATCTTAAATCAGATTTCACAGCCTTTTTGGACTTACTTGATATACAGCATACAGTATTTTCTAAGAATAAATCATAGAAAAGTTTCAGATTTCCCCTTACCCCTCAAAAAATCGTATGGGACATTATTCAAGTCTGGCAGACATAATTGCTGTTGTTTGGCAGACCAAACGTGTAGTTAATAGTTTGCAAGTAGCTGTGTAACTGTTGTGTTGTGCGCACTCTGCAGTTGCTCAGGTGTCTGACCCACACTGGCCAATGCTCATGTTCCTAAAGAAAATGCATTTAATGCAGTCTTCTTATACATGGTACCATGATGAAATCAATCACCACGGGGTTCAGCCATGAAGAAAAAAGAAATGTCAGCACTCTGACATCTCAGCCTTTCCTATATTACCACTGCATTCAAGTGAATACAGCCATTACAATAATTTCAAATAAATGGGGGCAATTCATGTCTCCTACCACTTTCTCCTAATGCCTCTCTGACACAGGGCTCAGTTAGCAGACAAAGGATAAAAAGCTCCATTTCACAAGATCACAATGGCCTGTCCATTCCTGCCTTTGTGAGCAAGTTAACTACTTTGACTTAATTAAGTCAGTTCAGCCTGTGAAAAAATAACAGCTATAGGCACAACTGGGTCAGCTGAACCCTTGATAGAAGGGGCCTTGATAGAAGGTGCCTTGGAGTAGCTGCTGTGAACTTTTGCCTCTGGGTGTGAGGAAACATGCATTATCTCTCAGAGCTCTCCTTCACAGCTGGAAGTGCAAAAAGTCCTGATGAGATATCAGCATGTGCCCGCTCCAGGTGAACTCCTGCACATCCCTCCTGCTGTGCTCTGAGCAGTGGTGCTCACAGTGACATGCAGGAGAAGACGACCCTGGAGGCCTTCAAGGCCAGGTTGGATGGGGACCATCCAGTGAGTGGCAACCCTGTCCATGGCCATGGAGCTGGGTAGGCTGTGAGATCCCTTCCAAACCAAATAGTTCTATGATTCTGTGAACAACCCTTTTGCACATTTCAGTGCTGATGTTGCTGTAAGCACTTACTGCAGCTGTGGCAGCCAGCGTGGTCATGCTGCCTGGGGCCCAAGGATTGTGGATAAGCAGCATCACCATGGGGCAACCCTGGGAGGGAGGTGGCCCTGGCCCAAATCCCGTCTTTTCCATGGCACATCCCTTTCTGGCAGAGCTCTGAGTTAGTAATTAGAAAAAAATTGGAGTTGTTGCTGCCTTTGTAGTCATGAAAAAGCAAGTGAGCGATGCCTTACACCTCCCACAAAGCCTCTGTGAGGCTCAGCGAGGTTCTGACTGATGTTTCTCTCACCCTAGGCAGAAGTCAGTGTGATTCATGTTAGGGTGGAGCAGGAGGGCACAGGCACATGCATGTCAGTGGTTGTTTCTGTCTCTGGAAGGGGGAAGGAAACAACAGCTGATGCCTCCATGCAGCACAAGGTGCTCTCTTGCCTTTAGAAGAAACCTGCAGCCTGCCTGCTGCCCTGGGCTCCACAGAGCAGGGCAGCTGCTCCTGGGCACCAGCTTACAGGACGGCTCTCACCAGGCCCAGGCGTTTCCCCCCCCATGACTGAGGCTGTGTCCCCAAAACTCCACTGCCATTTCTGTACCAAAAGGGCTGAGGTTTTGGAATAAGATGCAGGCAGCGCTGCTCTGAGTTCCTTGCCAACTTTGCCTCCTCTCAGCTGTGTTCTAGTCAGGGGCAGAATGCTTGTCAGCTTCTCAGGTGCATTCATTCTGTAGAAGCAACTGGAGAGAGGCTGTGTCTCTTACATTGCAATACTCTGGTAACAAACAACCAACTGCTGAATTTTCTATTTTTTTCTGAAAACTGTTCTTTTTATCTATGGGATGCTAATTGACTTCTTGGCTTTCATTTAGCTGCCACCATGGCACTAGTTCTGCTGCTTACAAGCCAGTGTCAACACAGCATCTCAGCAAGGGCTGGAGGTCACAAGATTTCATAAGTGACATGTTTAGGATTTCAACTGGATCTTAAAATATATACACATATTTAATTATAATATGGTAGGTGGAATTTGTACTGGTATCTGATCCATCATGGAGATGCTGACCAATTAAACCAGAGCTGCAGCTTTGGCTCATGGTTAGGGCACTGGATTGGGCAATTGCTATGAAACCCCTCTCCCACTAAGCCAGGCCAAATTCAGTTCAGCCACTGGAAAGTTTTTAATCTAACCCAGCTTTCAACTGAACCCATGCAAGCTTGAACAAGTAACTTGAAATGCAAATCTGGTGCAGCTGTCCTAAACTGGGGGTTAGTTCAGGATCAGCTTGACCAGGTCCTAGTTCGCCTTCTGAGAAATGGTTCTGGTGACTGCTTTGACCTGCAGGGTTTGCTCTGAACAGTTCAGTGACACAGCTGTACAGGACTGGGGCTTTGTAGTCCCTCAGTTAACTGCAGGGGTTGGGAAGAGGTAAGTACAAAGGACCAAAAGAGAAAGGAGAATATTTACAGTGCACTGAACCCTTTACTATTCCAGATTGTAGTCACATCTGTCAACATAATGTTCTTCTTAATTGTATAAAGCACAGGCAATGGGCTGAGCTATCATTCATCACTGTTGTATTAAAAAATCAGACTGTACTGGAGGGAGCAATGCTGAGCACTGGGAGCATGAAACAGAGCGAAGGTCACTGATACTTACCCCTACTTTCCATTCCTATAGTGGCTGCTGCTGAAGGCTGGGCTCTGGGCTAGGTTGATCTTCATGGACTTACAGGGACAGTCTTAGACAGAAAGGAGTTAGTGGCTAACTGATAAGCTCTTACCAGAGTCTCATCTCCTTGAAAATGCTTTGGTTCCCTTTATGGGTGAACAGCAGTGACTGAATGCAATCTGAACAAAGATGTAGGTTTAGCAAGACTGGGGAAAGCAGTCAGGAGATGAGCAACTGTGACCTTTGCACCCTTAAAATGTAGCACTTCCATGTGTTCTGTGCATGTGACAGAAGAAAAAAAGTAGAGCAAAATCTGGGAGTACCTACCTTTGTGAAAATAACTACCTTAATTCCACCGAGTCAGTTTGCAGATCTGTGTATGCTATGACTAATGAGAGAAGCTATATGCTGGACGTGAGGCATGAGCTGCAGGAGGAGCAGTGGGCCCTATAATTTCACAGGAGCCTGCAAGCACCAGAAGGACACACTGGGGCAGGAAGAAAAGACAGAAACTGTGGAGCTCAGATGCACTCTTCATGAGAGCAGTGGACAAAGCAGCTGCAGGAGATGAGCAGAGAAGGCAACATGAACGTGAGTGGAAATTGCACTCATTTCTGTACAGGGCAGGGGCTTGCAGGCAGCTGCACTGCTCAAGATAATGAAGTAATGCTTAAAAACAACTCTAGGCTGTGGAAAAGAAGATGTGCCAGGGTTTCTAAGGGCTTGCAGGTGTACTAAAAGAGAGGAAAAGGAGGTGATGCTGTACTTTTCTGATGGAAAACAGTGCTCGTGGTCAGTAGTCCTCTGTAGTGCAGTCTCCTGCAGGTCCATGTTGGAGAGAATCAAGCACCCTTTTCCCTGAAGCCCAAAGGGATGCAGATGAGGAATCAATCATAT